CAGGCCTCAAAGCTGCGCCCAGGGAGAGTTTTGGTGGCCGGGGACCACTTCTTGGATGAGCAGGGTGGGATCAGGCCAGAAGAGCGCTGGTTTCTCCCTCAGAGTCCCCCAAGCAGCTCTCCCCTTGACCCCGCAGCTTCGACAGAGCCAAAATCCCGCTATTTTAGCCCAAAGGTCCACATCTCTTTCCTTCCCCAGCCCCTGCTTTGCAGGGCATGTCCGTAAGGATGACCCAGCTCTAATCCGTCCCCTGGCAAGCCAGCGACGTGCTCAGGGGCCGTGCGGTGCCCAACAGCTCTATTAAAAGCAACTGTACTAAAAATAAATAAATGCACCACTGGGCACAGACGGTCTCTGGCAGCCAAGGTACATGCACGTGGGTAGAATCAGGTAGAAATCGCAGCCCTCCTGCCCCCCTCACCTTTTCCTCCACTGCCACCCTCCGGACGATGTGCTCCAGGCGCTGCCGGTGGTTGGGGGGGCCTGCTGGCGCCGCGGCCGCTCGCTCTCCCTCCTCACTGAGGCCATTCCTGGGCTCCTGTGGAAAGAAGAGCCCTGAGTGAGGGTCCCCTCCAAGGTTTGGGTACCCCCCCACCCCAATCTATAATCTATTCGCTGCTGAGTTTGACTACAACCTCCCGACGACTTGGCAAAGTTGTTTTTCATCATTTTCCGTCTTGCCCGGCCATGCTTTGGGCACAGGCGCGTTTGCTACCCCTTTCCCCAGGACTTCACGGTCGGTGCCGTGTAAACAAGGAGCCTTCAGAGATGTTTTTGCAGCGTCTCTTTGCCCCACGTACACCCTGAGAGAGCCTTTCTGCTGCAAAAAAGGGGCTCTCAGGGATTAATCACCCCAGTGGCAACAGCGCACGACAGGCATCAGCTACACCTGAGCTGTTTCTCAGCCTTTCCACCAATCTCCAACTCCTCCTACTTGCTGTTGTACAGAGGGTTTGGGCAGTGGGCAATAATTCTGCTCCTCCCGGGGACTTTGGGATCTTTGGGAGGCTCAAAAGGAATGCACGGGCAGGAGAGGGCAACTCAGCTCCTCCACAAGAAAAACTGAAATTCCCAGCTCCTTGCAACCCTCGTTACAGAGTCGAAGGGTCTAAAGCTTTAGCTCCCAGGGAGGGCATCTTCCCAGAATTTCTGCAAAAGGATGAGCCCTTGGGCACCTCGTCCCAGCACGGCAGTGCTCCCCCAGAGGCAGATGTGCCGGCAGACGGCTGCGACTGCACTGGTGGGGGGTTAATCCTGAATTCCCGTTTTTCAGAGCGAAAGCCGCCAGCTGCTTCAGAAAGATCACGCCCCAAACACCAGCCCCGAGGACTTTATCCCCATCGACGGATCCCCCCAAAAAGCCAAGAGGACACTGCGAGCTCTCCCTACCTCGCCCAGGTTTCGCGCTTGCAGCAAAGCTTCCGTCCTCCTCATCTTCTCCAGCTCGATCTCCCTGGCGATGAGCTGCTTGGCCTGGTAGGTC